ATTTTAAAAATTTTGTTTTAATCTTTATACTTAATTTTTTTAAAAAGAACCTGACAAATATTGTTGACAAAATCTACGTACTAATATCTCTGTTACTAAAAATATAACATTAAACTCAGTTGATATTATATAATTTCTTAATTTATCACTATTATATATGTTATTAGTGACTTAAGGAGATTTTTTTAAAATTATAAAATTTAAAAAACATTAAATTAAAAACTAAAAATAAATTTTTCTAAATTTAAAAAACTAAAAACGTATTTATCCATTTTATCTTTTATCGTCATGTCTAATCTACCTCCCCTACCTTGTATGCATGCAGAAGGTTCTGAGAAGCATGATAAATGATAGAGTGACGCCATAGAAAGGAAGAGTGAAAGAGGGAGATCATCGCCCTCAAGGTTTTGCTATTTGGCTAAGAGGAAGAAGAGATGGGGATAAATAATTAGGAAATATAAGAAAAGAGAAAACGAAAAAAGAAAGAAAAATTAATAATCATCCATTTAAAAATTAATATATTTAAGGGATGAAAAATATTTTTCATGGTAAACCATTTGTCTAACTTCTCCACTCTAGCATTCTATTAAAAAAATGAATAAAATGAGAGGGAGAGGGAAAATTGCGACCTATATATAAGAAACTACAAACAAAAGTTATTTAAAATAAAATATATTTTTTAATTAGATCACTAAAGAACAAGGAAAATTTAAACCCAACAAACTAAAAATAAAAAATATATATTTACTTAAAATATTTTTATTAAATAAATAATATTTTCAAAGTGTTTTACATCTTAATTTTTGCGATAAAAGTGGCTAGAAACACACCTTCACTGAAATATGCTCGTATTTAGGCCTAAATCATTTTATAGTTTTATGAATGTTTAGTTTATTAAAAATAATATTTTTAATTTAGTTTTTTTAATTTTTAAAATTAAATAATATTATTTCATCATTATTTTTTTTAAACTGTGTTATTAATATAAAATATTCAAAAATTTCACTGATAATTAGTTTTTGTCCTAAAATTTGATTGATTATCTTTAGTGAAATATTTTATTTAAACCAAAATTTTTCTACAAACGAAATAACTTATCATTAATATGACATTCAAAATTAAATAGTAGTATTAAAAAATAAATAAAAATAAATATAATTAAAATAAATAGAACATAATAATTATTGAGTCATAATAACGATAAGAAATTGTGTCAAGTTGGTTCAAACTAAGTATCCTGGGAGGTCCTTATGCGACAAGTTGCAGGTGAAGGGGTCATGCTTTTGGACTTCTCTTTGCAATACATATGCATCATTAAAAAGAAGGTTTCCGTCTACAACTTGGAAGAGGTGAGGTTCTCTTTTGGTATGACAATTGGTTGGCTGACTCACTTTTGTGCTTTGAGGTGTCATATGTCCATTATCAAGATGTTGAACTTCGTGTGTGTGACGTTGTGCGAGGAAACCAGTGGCAACTGTAACAACTTTACACTCTCATATTGGAGGGATTACGTAATCAAATTCAAGAATACCACGTAATTCTTCACCCTTCGTTACTAGACGTGATGGTGTGGGGGGCAAGCATTTTCTAGTCACTACTCTGCTCGAGCAGGATACCTTTGGATCTTGGAACGTGTGGGAAGGTGTTGTGCAACTTCATGGGTGTGGTTATGGCAACTAAGGGTACCTAAGAATTTGAAATTGTTTCTTTGGCAACTAGCGCATAATAACCTTCCATCGCAATAGTGGCTCATTTTAAAACATATATGGACCAAGATTCTTGGTGCTCGGGCTGTGGTAGGTGTCGTGAAGATACTTTCCATATACTTTTAGAGTGAGATAATGCAGTGGTAGTATGGAATAGTTTGGGTCTTAGTCGTAATTCTCTCTCTCGAATGTTTTGGTATGGCATGATTGGTTGTATAAGTGTTTGCCTTCCTGGGACTCATTAGGTTTGGTGACACTATGGGAGATTTGGTTGGCTCGAAACTCTATTGTTTTTCATAATCGAAGGGTAGGTCCTCACTCATATTGTGGTGTCACATATTTGGGCATTATATGGCGTGATTAAACGTGTCTTTCACATTGAAGCCCCACCACAGGAGGCTTGGTGGGTCTCTTGTCTTTCGGCAAGTTTGGACCAAATTGCAATGCATTTAGATGGTAGTGTCCTGGGTTGCCCAAGGCCTGTAGGGTATAGTGGCCTATGTAAGGATAGTAGTGGAGGTTGGCTTATGGGTTTCTATGGAGATGTTGGGGTTGTAGATAATTTAAGAGTGGAACTAGCGGGCATTTTAAAGGGCTTGGAGTTGGCGTGACAACAAAACTTTAGAGATATCATGTGTATCTTTAACTCTGTTAATGTTGTCAATTTAATCTTGGGATCATTAGAACACTTTCATAGGTATGTGGTGACTATTGCAAAGATTTGAGAGTTTTTCCACTGTGACCGGAGATTATCATTATGCCATTCACTGCGAGAAGGGAATCAATATGCTGACTTTCTCTTCAAACTAGGTCCCAATTGTGGGTTGGAGTTGGTGGTGCTAGTAGACATGCCTGCTAGATGGAAGTCTTTTTATCCAAACAGATACATCAAGGACTATGTTTTTGAGAGACTAGTTGTTTAACTTTACTTTCTTTTATTTCTTTACTTTGTATTACTAAAAAAAAGTAAAAAAAAAAAATAGTATTTTTCCTTATATGAAAACTAACGTGATTAAGAAACTGCTAAGCGATGCTAGCTACTTACAATTACACCAATATTTTATGTTTAATTTTAGACAACATATTAATTGTAGATTAATATTGTTTAATTTTAAAAGCTAAAATGAAAAAACTACAATAAAAAAAATTCAGAGAACAAAATCATGCGAAATTATAACAATTCGATGTTATATCTTTAAGGATTATTATATAGATCCCATTGCAATTTAACATACCTTAAGGCTTAACATACTTTTAACGTTTAACAAGCAAAAGTTTAATTAAAATGGGTTAAACAAATAATAAAATCTTGAATTACTTAGTGTAGCCGGTCAAAATACTAGTGATTTGAAACATCACTTAACCTGATGATGGTGCATGTTAGAAGCCACTTTTGTTCAAGTTGGACTGTCATTGCTTTGGGTTCGGGTTAAATCTAAACAATAATAAAAAAATAAACTAAATTATATTTTCATTGATGTTGATAAAACTCGTTGATATCTTTTTTTTTTCCATATCAACTATATTCTAATTTAAATAATAGAAACAAAATATTTGTAAATAAAAATATTAAAGAAAAAAATTTAAAAATAAATTATATTTTTAGAAAAGTAAATTCAAGTTCAAATTTATATTTAACTAATATTTTAGTATATATTCATTTCATAGGCTAAATGTTTACTATATATAAAAATTTATAATAAATTATATAAAAATATATATTATTTTGAAATA